ACAAAATGTCTTGGTGAAAGGGAAAACACTGGATTGACCAATAAAAAGAAAGAAATTGCCACATTACAGCAAGAAGAAGGAAATAAAACACCACTAGGGGAAAAAAACTCCAATAGGCAAGGCAAGGTAAGGCAAGTTTATTTATATAGCACTTTTCAACACAAGGCAATTCAAAGTGCTTTACAAAAAATGAAAGACATTAAGAAAATGGCATTTAAAATCAGTCATTAAAAAGAAAAGTTAATAAAATAAACATTAAAAGAAAAAATACATGGAAAAAGTTACAGTGCAGTCTAAGATATGAATAGTTCAATTAAAAGCAACGACAAAAAGAAAAGTCTTCAGCCTGGATTTAAAAGTAGTCAGAGTTGCAGCGGACCTGCAGGTTTCTGGGAGTTTGTTCCAGATATTTGGAGCATAATAACTGAACGCTGCTTCTCCATGTTTAGTTCTGACTCTGGGGACAGAGTACCATCTGGATATACCATCTGGATCTTAACAGACAATACCAAGAGAAAGACAATTGAACAATACATCAAAGGGGTAAAACAGCAATTTAGAATTGCACTTCCATAAAGCTGGGGTCTCATGAGGGATGGATTTGAGAATGAAAGGTCAAAACTCATTAGCAGAGGGCAAGATATCCTGATTTGAGTCCTCCTATGAGGCAAGCTCCAAAAACAATGGATCCAAAATGTCACTAATGCAGCATAACATCTTTCAAATGGGCATTTTGTTACGACCGTGCAAGCATCTGCTCCACTAGCATCTTTAACTCAACGCAATCTCTCATTTAGCAATTCTTTCACCTTTGTTAATCAGAAAATTAAGCTTGCGCCTGAATTATTTTTTCTGGTTGCAAACAAACATTCTACAGCTGCTTCAAAGGGCTGAGTGATCCTGTCGACGAGTAAAACTGAATTCAAGCGCAAAAATGAGTGGAGTATTCACCCCTTTAGCCAAATACACACTGCTGAGAACGGTGGACTGCAGACAAATCTGGCAACCCGGAGCAAACAGACTGTGTCAACATATGCCAACAATAAGACAGAGAGCAGCACTTCCTGCAGACAAAAATAATACTCTAACAAGAATTCAACTGACTGTCAGACCAAAACATATTTACAGTATTTATTTTGGAAAAAATTGCCATCGTTTTAAATATTTCAGAGAATGTCAAAGCCCGAGTGAGTATGACAAATGAACCTGAGCGCCTTCAGAGTCTGCCTCCTCGATTTCATATTATCCGTTTTCTTAATGGCTCTTATCATTAGCATTGCATTATTAAACCATATATCTTCTTTTAAAGTTTCATTACAACTAATATGAATATCTTCCTGATTCATGGTTTAATTTTTTGGTCTATAAAATTGCTTAATAAAACCTAGGAAATACGGTCCATGAAATGTCTATAAAGTTAATAGAGGGAGAGCACACAGTCAAAAACTTAAAGACAACCCGTCAACTATAGTAAGGGGCAGGGTCACCTACCCTTGCAGAAGTGTGACAGAGCTACTCTCCAAAACAAAGTCATCATCAGGCACAGCAAAGAAAAAGAACATGTGCCACTTTTAGATTGGTCCATGAATAAACAATGACATTCTGTCCCCAGCTGGATACTGGCGAGAAGAATGGATCTGGCTGTGCAACAAGGCTGAATCAAGCTTTGTTAATAAAACAAAAATATTGACTTCATGTCATGAAAGATGCATCACCCATCTTTAATGCATCAGCATGAAATAAAACGTATTACCTGTGAAATAAATAATGTAACTACATGTTAGTCCACATAGCTGTAACTAAATCATTTACTCAAGTTATGGTTTTTTTCGTCTTTCTTAGGAAAACGTCTCACTACACTGCTGTAGAGTGACAGACTGATGTAATAATATTGCAGAGACAAACAAACGATCTAAATAGATTGCAGAAGAGGCAGACACATAAGTGGCTGGAGGAAATGTTCAGTGAAAGGATAAGGAATACATTTAATTTCAAACCCCGTCATAATCTATTAAAAAAGGAGACATATTTTGCACATCAAGCCCCGGTCTATGAGAGAACATTACATACTCCCGGTCGTTTTGCATGTCGTCCTACATTTGGCATCTCCTCGATAATTTTAAATAAAGTTGTATGTGCAGTTTAGCCCGATTCAATGGGCTTTAAGAAGAAGACTAAATAAGGTTGCAAACTTCTGTCTGGTGCTGACGTGTCCCATTGGTCTGGGTTTCGGATTTCAGAAAAATAAATAAGTGACTGGTAAAAACATTCAGTGACACACTTAATTTCAAACCCTGTCGTAATCTACTAAAAAAGCAAACATATTTTGAACATCCTTATGAATGTCACAGGTCTATGATATAACATACATACTCCCAATCATGTTGCATAAAGTGGTATGGGTGGGAGCAGTGTTTAGCTTGGATTCAATGAGATTTAAAAGAAGACTAAAATAAGGTTGCAATTTTTCCGTTTTGACCATAGGTTTTGACGGTTTTGGCAGGCTTTCTGCTATCCTTGGTGCTGATGTATTTCATTAGTCTAGGGCTGGATGTTCCTCTCCAGGCCTGCAGGGGGCGGAAGAGCGCCATGCTGCTACATTTTGATAAACAGAAAGAACCAAAACATGTGAGTACTAAGAGCAGCAGCGAAAAACATGGCGGTCCCCCTTAAAGCAGCCCGTCTCTGTCGCCTGGCAGGACGGACTGTCACCTCTCTCTCAGCCTCACAAACTGCCAGCCTGCCAGAGAGGAGATGCTACATCTCCACCTCGACGGGGAATAGTGAGTGACATTTTTGTAAAAGATAAGAAGAGAGCTTCTCCTATGCAGCTCAGAGGTCAATGTCCTATCGGGTGCTGCTAATGACAGCTAATGACAAATGTTTGTTATTGGTCTGAACCTCTGAACCTAATTTGGTTAAAACCTTCTCTTGTTGCCACGACAACAACATTCGTTAAATATGTGGTATCTATGGGAACGTAGTGCACGTTAACACATCGTCCAGGCGTTAACAAACAATACAACAAAAAGTTGAGAAGAGTCGAAAAAACGTTCATAAAGTTTAATAGGATGTACCTACTTCAGTCAGATACTTAACAGCCCCTACACACGGCGGCGTGCGAGAATGTTTCTTCGCTAAAACTTGACGACGAATTAGTAACGATGGCGTAGAAATGAGAAATGATGGGGCGAAAACTATTGTTTGGACAGAAGTTTTTTACAATGTGACATTATGTCAGATTCCCCCAACAGTTTAACAAAGTTGACAATCAAAAAGAGCACGTATACCTGTTCTCTCAAGTAGCTTTCCATACAGCATAGTGCACCGCTTCTTGTGTAGCTGTGTTTTACAGTGTTTTCCTACTGCTTTCATGTTTAATTATCCTCTCTGTAAGATGCAAGTTTGTTCTTGAACAGGCAGGTACCAACTTCACGGTAAACAAATATAACGCGCTCCCTGAGAAGCTAACAGTAAGTCATTTTTTTTCTTGGAAAACTACTTTAAAATATTATTGTTTTTACCAGAAGTTTTGGTTATATATCTCACCGCTGTGTTCAATCCCAAGTTTTTCTCCAAAGGACAGATATTAGTTAACCCTAATCCACTTGTTCATGGTGACCACAGTTACTTAACTTGTTTAAACTGATACAAACTTCTACAAACTACGAGCAAAATATGACCAATCAAATGGCAGAGGGGCAACAGGTAAATCAGCTTGGCGCATGCGCATTGTTGTCTTCGCACAGTCGTAGCGCTTGACATTGCTAAAGCCCAGCCAAACACCATGTAATATAACAGCAACAAGCAATGATATTTTAAATGCCGTGCATTAATCTAGAAATGTATTAATGTCCAAATTACTTAGTACCACTAAAACCACACTTCTTTGTAATGCCAGCAGGTGGTGCTTTACCTGACTTGGCCTCTAAGTAATATCTTTACACACTTGTGATGAGTGTTTGGTTTTCTTTTAGACTTGTATGTAATATGCTAACACTATTAGTTAGCTTGCCAAAATAGGTTGGTTTACATTTATTTTATGACGGGACTGATCAGAAAAATCTTTTTAAAATCATGTAAGCACCCTTAAAAGCGACATTTGTATAGGACATGCCTCATCATCTTAAACAAATTGGTAATAATAAAGACCACAATTACTTTTCCATTATCAAATATCAAACAAAAAATGTTTTTCTTCTTTTTTCTGTAGATTTACAGTTCAAGCTGAATGCGCTAACGGCTCACAGCAGTCTGGACCTCTTCAAGAAAGAAACTGGCATCATCTACCGCATGCTGGGCCTCGACCCCAGCCGCCTGCCAGACAACCCAGAGCGTTTCCGAGACTGGGCTGTCGTGTTTGGTGATGAGAAGGTCAGCAGTGGACGACACTACTTTGAGGTGACGGTCAAAAAGTCTCAAGAGTTTCGTGTGGGCGTTGCCGATGCGGCGATGTCCAGAGAGGATTGCGTGGGAACGAGCAGCTCCTCCTGGGTGTTCGGCTACGCTCAGCGCAAGTGGTTTGCTATGACCAACAACAAGATAATTCCTGTGACGCTAGTGGGCAAGCCAGACCGCATTGGCATCCTGCTCGACTACGAAGCTGGCGTTCTGGGGCTGGTAGACGTTATACAACCCACAATCATTCACACTATCAAAGCCCAGTTCAAAGATCCACTCTGCCCCGCTTTTGGACTCTGGCACGGGGAGATGCTCACACACTCTGGTCTGGAGGAGCCCGAAGGCCTGAAGTGAATCAGTACGAACTGTGATGGCTGTGGGAAATCATCAAATCATTTAATGCTTAAGTACAGGTGATGGTCAAGTTGGATCATTACAATGACTCTTTACAAAGCAGGTTCATACTTTGTGTATTCCATCCAGCCATAGGCAATCATATCACAGAAGCTTTTGTGTGTGTACCTCATGTATTACTTCGCATACTAAATGATGTAAAAATTGTGTGTTTTTGAGAGGAAAATAATTTTTTGTTAATAATGTTTTGTTTTCTTTACCCTGGTATTACCGTCACAGTTACAAAGCTGTAATTGTCACAAAACCTTTTTCAGTCTCATGTTCATACTGTACACCGTTTAATAAAATAACTTCACAGAAACTGCTTTTACATTTCTTTTATTTACAGCAGGATGATGCATATTTACAGTAACGCGATAGTGGAGCCTCGCAGTGGCGAAACTGTGGCGCGCTTACACTGAAACATCATATTAAATGCATGCACATTTACACTACAACAGACAGCAAACTTGAACACCAACATGTGGACAGTCCACAGACGAAATGCAGCAGGTTTCTTTCTAATCAGAAGACGAGTTATTGTTGATTGAGACGCAGCCGGGTAGCAATAACAACTTTATAGCGCATAACAATAACAGATGCAGAGATTACACAGATTAAAACGGAATAGGCCTAAATGAATAATCATAGGTTTCTAACAGTGATTATTTACACATTTTACACAATTGCACATTTTTGGGAATTTGGCTTCACAAACACACACACACACACACACACACACACACACTGTTCTTGCGCTCAGGAATGGTGGAAATAAACTCCCTCATGAGAACATGAATGTCCAGTGAGTCCAGAATCTCCTGCTGTACATGCAGCTAGGCCAGGTGAGTGAGTCTCTTCTGGGTAACTGTTACGCAGCCAGGTTTTCAGGCGACGGAGCGCCGAGAAGGATCTCTGACGAGGCCACGGAGATGGGCATGGAAAGACACAGCTGGAGGAGATTTTCCACGTATTTGATGAGTCCTCTTGTTTGCAGGCTGGACATATACACAGCCAGTTCGTGAACAGTGCAAAAGTCCTCATCCTTCGTAAGGTCTCCCAGCATCCTCATTTGCATGTGAAGACCAGAGACATCTATGTTTCCTGGCAGCTGGAGAGATCTCAGGTCTTCCTCTGTGCCAACTGACCCCTTAGCAGCAGCAAGCAATGTGTCCTCCCTGCGTGAGGCAGTTTCCATGCCACTCTGGTCAAAACTGCGCTTGATTTCACTCTGCACAAGATCAAGAGCCTCGAAAAACTCTCTCCTCCATGATGCCACTCCTTTTGTTAGTAGAACATCTTCAGCCTCTGTTGTGCTGCGGAATCGGTATGGTGTCTTGCTTACCCGGCTGCCAGCTGGGTCAGGCATCTTGTGTACGTACACAGAAAATATCATAACAAAAAACGCTGGCCGTGAAAAATCACAGTTGAGGAGGTTGAATTGACCAGTAATAGTCTGCTACTTATTAATGATATTTTCTATATGTCAACCATTTAAAAAACAACCATGTTTTATAGACTGCTTAAACTAAAATGCTAACTCAAAATAAAACTTTTTTATTGATTTGTTTAGTGAACTTTTTGGCCGTTGCAGTTACAACTCTCTGCCAACAGATGGGGGTGCTGCAGCCCCCTCAGCACCCCCTTCCCGCGTCCCTGTGTTTAAGATACTCATTCATCACGTCTCTCAATGATTCAGTCCTCTCATAATAACATTAATTCATTTCCATACCTAAACCCTTATGATCCCTTGTGGATTAGAGATTAGACCATCAGATTCCTTTCCCTTCTCAAACACCCCCCCCCCCGTTATTTTTTAGACTTTATGACATCATCCCCCTTTGTCTGCTCTTTCATATGTGTTTCTTATTTCTAGCGCCAATGCTTTTCTTTTCACTTTATCGTTTCACTTTTTAAAAACCTTTTATCACTAGCCTCTTGGTGTTTTATTGATCTGTGTTTAATTGTGTTGCTGCTGTGTGCTAGCTTTTCGCTATAGATCATTCCAGCCAGCAAAAATAAGGTCACTCTTGATACATTATTACATTACATTGCATTTAGCTGACGCTTTTATCCAAAGCGACTTACAATAAGTACATTCGACCAGGAAGATACAACCTTGAAGAAAACAGAATCATATAAGTACATCAGGTTTCATAGAGCCAAACATTTCAAGTGCTACTCAACTGGCTTTAGATAAGCCAGTCCTTTATTAGTATATAAGTGCTCTGTTAGCAGTTCTTTGTTAGTAATTCTATCGCTCGAAGTGGATATGAAAGATATAGCCTTATTCTTTATTTTCTATACTGATTTATCAGCACTTTTTATTCTCCGAAATGTTGGATGAATTCTAAAATAGTCATTCTCTGATCGCATAAAAAAAAAAAAAGGTAAATTGCTAACTAGCTGATAACCTGATGAAAATGGTTTAGAGCGCTCTCCACAAAGTTGCGGCCTACTACGAAGCCTACTATTCTTTAGGGGACAAAATCGTTAAATATTTGTATATACATTACACACTTTCATATAAATGATCCAGTAAGTGTGTTATTATGATTGTACATGTGCAAATCGAGTTGGACTTAGAACGGACAACATGGCCCACCCCTGTGATCTTTGACGCCCCCAAAGGGAGGCCTGACCCCTGGATGTGAAACCACCAGGTTAGACGATGCCCTTCAACATATCCGGCGTGATCTTCTGCTCCTCTGTGTCACAGGGTGCGTCGACGTCGCTGTCAGTGTACCCACGCTGGTACTCCTGCAGGACTGAAACAACGACATCGTGGCCAAACTGCATGGCGTCATCTATCGCCGTGTTCCCCCATCTGATAGATGGATAACAGAGTGTAATGTGGAGATGGGTGAATTGTTATGATGGAGATGGAAAAGGACATTTTTACTATGTTTTTTAATTGACAATGAAGATGAGTAACTCTATATTAAAGCCCCTACCTGTCTTTCATGTGAGGATTCACTTTACATACTTCAGTTAGGAAGACAACTGCTTCCACATGACCTGAAAGACAGAAGTGACCAGCGCCATGTTTCATCTACTCTCTTTTGAATATCAAAGGGATTATTAAATAATGAACTTTTGCTAATAGAGTGTCACCTTCTGCAGCAGCAACGTGGAGCGCTGTGCGAGAGTCGTAGTCTCTCTGCTCCATGTTCAAAGCTGAAAGGGCAAACCTGGAGGGATAACAAAGGAACAGAGGAGAGCGATCACATGTGGAAAGGAGGATACGCATGGCAAAACGTCAGAAACTAAGTAGTTAAAACCCTATAATTACATAAGTAAGAAGCTGGGTAGTTTGAAAGGCAATTCTTCTGATTTGACTTACCTCCTGAGAGCCGTGAGGTCTCCACTGTAGGCTGCAAACAACAGGTTTACCACCGACTTGTTCTAATGGATCAAAAGGAAACATTACTATACGATAACATACTTTTTCTTAAACATTTCACAAAAAGCTATATCTATGGTTCTCACTAGCCTCGTAGAAAATTGCAGATACACTTGTTAGCCTGAACTTACTGGATCTTCATCTGATCTTCTCCGGGGGTCGTGTTTCTTGGTGAAGTGTCTCAGGTTGTCGTAATTGTGGAAGTTGAAATGAGACAACAGATCCTAGTGAATTAAGAGTTGATTAATATTTGACAGACCAATATGAGAAGGGATGACCTAAAAGGGCCTAAAGGTCTGTGAGCATACCATTATTAGTAAAAATACTCAAAATGTACCTTTTATCAATTAATAAAAATATACATTGACGCTATGATTTCCATCATTTTTTTAATGCTCTTTTGATTGGTTGATTACTTCATTTTATAATAGTTTTAACTGTATTTTATGTTGATGTGTATGCCCTGCAGCAATATAATATCTTCTAATGCAAATATAAAATAAAGATAAACACACAACTATAAATGGGGACATGCCTTCATACCTGACAGAAGTGAATGCCACGAACACTGTTTCCCAGCCGATCCAAAGGTGGAGACCAACACATCATACCCATGACGTTGGGGACAACCAGCAGAACAGCACCTGAAATGCCAGATTTAGCAGGCAAGCCCACCTGAAAATGAGAAGAAAACAAAAAGTGTCAACCTGGATTCAACAACTCATGCTACCATTTTCAGCAACAAAAGTAGCAATGTTTTGAAACAGATGCTTATTTTCCAGGTGACTCACATGGAAGGCAAACTGTCCGGAGTAGTCGTACATGCCGCAGGAATGCATGAGGCTCAGGGTGTTGCGAACGGCTTCAGCGCTCAGCACACGCTCGCCTGTGATTGGACAAATACCCCCGTTGGCCAGTGTGGCCGCCATAACACTTCCTGAATCACAGTTCACCTCAATAGAGCACAACTGGAAAAACAGTCAGAGGAATAATTTGAAAACTTTGGAAATACACTTTATTGCTGAGGGTAAAGGCCGATTCTAAAAGCATTAACTCAATTTTTATCCAGTGGTGGAATGTTACCAAATGCATTTACTCAAGTACGGTACTTTATGCATTTGATGCTAGTTATTACTTTTTCTCATACAGAGAGTGATATACATTTTCTTATTTTACTCAAAACATAAAATACACATATTTTCCAAATGACAAAACTTTCTTAGAAAATGTTTTCCACAGAGTACTGCAATGTTACCTGAAAGTAGAAGTCAAGTGCAGCCATCATGTCTGCATTTTCAGGAAAGCACTGCAACCATTCAAATCAGAGTGAGTACATACTTGTACTAAACAAGCATTGAGGTGATTGCAATTCAATAAATTAAAGAAAAAACTCACTCTTTTCTCCTTGAGGTAGTAACCAATTGCATAATTCCTATCACCGGTCTCCCTCTCTGACTGGAAACTTTAGAAGATGACAGCTATTTAGCAAGTTGCATTGTCTGGATACAAGCCAATGAGGTGGCATTTTCTGAAGCACAGTACTCACGTTGCATTGCTGAAGCCCACATACTCTGTACCAGCCAAGCTTTTCAAGAAGTCCATCACCTGCAAGGAGATTATATGTGCGCGTGGTTCAGTAGGAAGACCAAACATATGTGGAATCAAAAAAAAAAGTCTTTAAAAGGTAAAGCATTTACTCACATAGTCGAACCTCTCTGCCTTATTTGAATGAGGCTGTCAACAGAGGGAGAAAAAAGTCAACAGTCAGTGAATCCCTATAGATGGCAGTGTTTGAGTACTTTGACACCAAAGCATATATTTTTTTCCAGTAATGGGTAGGCTGCGAGCTGTGACGTGTATGATGTCTCTGAGCCCTCAGTCCATGTGGCAATGAGCACACAGTGACCTGGGGGCTTTTATGGCTGTGCTTAAATTTCACCGACCGGTAAGGGAGAATTACCAAGTTGTTAAATTAACAAATACAGCCCGTAAGCACATTCAGATTTAATGACTCTACCTATAAAGGTTAAGGATGGTATCTAATATAACTGTGAGTTGGAGGGCAGACTGGAGAATTCACCTCATGCCCAATAAAGGAGTTTATTTTATTTATTTCCAGGTGGCTTCTCTCTGGTGCTCTGACAAGTATTTTTTAAAAACTAAATATATACATTTCTGGCATTTTTCTGACCAACTTTGTATAAATCTTTCAAGCCATCGTCACAATATGGCACTAACATACAGATACAATCAAACAAATGTAAAACCAGAAAAAATGGTCCAATTAAAATGTTAAAGTGATAATTGTTTCCAGTGGTGTATATAAAAAAAGCTATTTTCTGCTGCTTGAGTGTAAACTACTTTTAAGTGTATCACCTCCTCAGTATGTGTATACAAACAATGTCCCCTCAACACACACAGGAGCGAGGTTCGCTAACAAACCTTCTGTTCAGGGGGCTGTAATTGGACAGAAGCACACACACGCCCCTGCTGTCAGGCCCACACACACACAGTACCTCCCTCGCTGCTGAACCTGACCTACATATGATAAAAAAGTCCAGAGTATGTCCTCATTCAACTGGAATACGTCAGGGGGGAAATACACAACCATATAAGGCTAAACTCCACCTCTCCATGTGTTACAATAAGGCCAAGGCTCACAGATAAGTATTATGGTCAGTCGCATGGTGATGACCAGAGTCCAGATGCCACAGGACCCAAGTGACCAGCATTACATGAGAGAGTGCAACATCACTAATAGCTTCAGTGTAAAAATACATAGCATTACTTGGCTTCTCATCGTTGGATGCAATCATTCAGGGCTTTAAAATTCAATAAATGTACAATATCATTTTCAGAGCCATACAGATAATGTTTCATAGCACAATAGGAACGCTTGCAAACACTTCTATCACACACAGGAATAACAAGGGCCCATGCATGGACTATAAGAACAGCATGTGTTCTTTAGTGAAATGGTGTAAAGCTTAATACAAGAGGACAAGATGTCATGTTGCACACTACAGCCTTAATTTTGCAATTTTTTCTGTCTCTACTGAAGATGTAGCTGAGGGTTTTAAAAAACCTGAATTAAAGCATAATTTGTGAACCCCTTTTATTTGGGAAATATGGAAAAATTTCTAATTATCCGGTTTAGTTTCTTGTTTTCTTCATTACTATTGAAGGCCTGAGGTATGGGTTGATAAACAGTGGGACTATTTTCGGGCATGAATGGATACATGACATCCGACTGTGTGATGTGTTTTGTGGGTATATTCTGAGTTGTAAAACCTCTGCTTCTACTTACAATCAATGTATTCATTGCAGACAATCCTTTCAATTGTACCTTAAGTAAAGAACTGATGACGATAGCTCCGGCGTTCACCATCGGGTTGTGTGGTTTATCTGCACAAGAAACAAGAGAGTGTTTTCACTTATTAGCCATAACCATGAGAGCAAGAAACTGCTGAGATTAGAGGAGATATTTCATCTGGGGAACAGAGAGTAACATCCGCTAATAAACTCAAAGCATAATATACAATTCTCTTTTCTCCAGAGGGGAGAATAAAATGGCAAATTGCTGTAAAATTGCAATAAAGTGGTATATAGATTATTTCAAAAATAAATTCCATTTGGACAACATTATTTCCAGTAAAATCTGTTTGCTTTTTACCCTATCTTTGCTCTGCCAACAACCAGAGTCTGGTGAAATTACTGATGACCTGATTTGATAAGAGTCAAATACCAAACTAAGGGAAAGAGGTTTTGTATAGTTTTGTTTTTTACAAAACAAGGTTCATATGTTCACTCAGTATTATTATTAGCTCTTGTTATTGTTTACAGAGGTAAACGGGAGCTAAAGTTTTGACTACGCTTATCACTTACCTTCGTCATTTAGTGACAGTTTGTTGAACTTGAATCCACTCGGCTCTTTGCCCACAAAGCGGTGAACATGCTCGGTGCCGAACTCGTGCACGGCGATGGCATACTCCAGAGGCTTCACACACGACTGTAGACAAAAGGGAACCTTGGTGTCACCCACTGAGTGTCTGCATGACATGAGGATGTGATGGAGAAGAATGGAAATAAAATGGAGGAGTGTTAGTGAGGGAATACACACGGTGGAGGTTTTCAGAATGGAGCACACATTAAAGTGAAGATGTTACTGTACCTCTGTCCATCGATTGTGCACAGAGATACGCCCCAGAGATCGGGACTGAACTTAGCCAGCTGAGGAATGTAATCAGCTACCTACATGAACACACACATGAGTGTTACTGTAATGATCGAGCTGATAATGATTAGTTATTGAGAGTTAGTAACTTACCTGTCCTGCCTCCTGCTGTTGTGCACTGTCATACATCCTGTCGATCTGCTGGGTCAGCTCATCAAAGTTTGGTATGATGAATTTCTTTCTAAAAGCCTTTGTCAGCAGCATGATGTTGTTTCCCGCACACCTGCAGGAGAACTCATCATTAAACAGACATCATAGGAAAACATTTGAAGACATTTCAAAAACTCAATCTTGCAAAAATACCACAAACAAAACTAAAATAACCACCTCATGGCTTTAGACCTCCGCCGACACAGTTGGCAGTTACGTAATACACATTTCTGTCCAAACAGCGTAAGGGCCTTTCAGAGGAACAGGGTTAAAAGAAAAGTTGTAGCCATGACAGTGGACAAGGCTTCAGATATGCATGTTTGTGCAAACATTAAAACATGGATGCTTCAGATAATTCTTTAATCTAGCAGCACCAAAAGATTATCAATAAAGGTGGACACGAAAGTTTAATGTCTCATTTAGTGTTCAACTAAAGGTGAATATAGACTCACTCACTCACTCTCTCTCTCTCTCTCTCTCTCTCTCTCTCTCTCTCTCTCTCTCTCTCACACACACACACACACACACACACACACACACACACACACACACACACACACACACACACACACACACACACACACACACACGGAAATAAATGTGATTATTATGATGTCATAGTAAATTTCACTTTGACCTTTCGATGTCAATTTATGCCTTTTAGACATTTTCTGTGAAATGTTGTCATAATTGGTGCAGTGATTCTTGAGTTGTGGCCAACACTTTTTCTCTGGGATATTATCCAAACATTTGTCAAGAAAAGTTTTGTTTCTTGGACTGAAAAACTGCAGCCTTATTCACGCAGACTGGTTCTGCCTGAAAAATGATTGTATAACTGAAACTCCAATCAATTTGTATCTAATTGAAATGCTCCACTCCTCACTGGGCTTTCATTATTTTCTTTTTCATCACAATGGATTCAAAGTGACCTGCTTTAGACCAATATATACCCAGCTAAAATAATAAGCACCCACTCCTGCCTATATCAGCAGAGCCTCATAGTTATTAGAGATTTTCACATCTACTAAGTTGTCAGCAATTTTGAGCGCTTTCAAGGAAAGGCATGTACATTCTGTCACAGCTGGTTTGAACTAAAATATCTGACCCGCTGGACTCACTAATCCAGGGTGATGTTTGCGTGAGGCCACCGGGAGAGGAGAATAGAGAGAGCTTGCATTATTCACATGGGTCAATTCCTAAAAAAAAGAAGGACATAGCTCTCTCTATTTCTAGTGGCCTATTTATATAGTGAGATCTTGAGTGTTCTTCAGAAGAGGATAACCTTACAAATCAAAGAAAACAAGCAGAGAAAGAAAGACACGGCCAATTAAGTTTGACAAAGAAAGACTACCAGGCTGTGTTACCCTCTGCTGTTCCAAGCCAAAGGATGAGACGGAGTGTATTACACTTACAAATGACACCATTTGGCAACAGACTGCATGGAGCTTACAGATCTGTTAAGTGTACTAATGAAATAGCCACAGCATGGGGCTCAACCAGAATGATGCCCCCTTCTTTCTGCTCCCTTTACTGTTTTGGCTTCCCAGTGTGTGCGAGAATTTGGTTAGTACTGTAGCAGCTGTCAGCCGTAAAACGCCTGTCTCTGTCAGTCTCTTGGACTCAAATAGCGTTGACCACTGAATACTCCTCCTGTTACTCTTGTACTTCAAGGAGTACAAGAGTAACAGGATATACTCACTTTATATTACGAGCGGCAACACTTCCACGGACCCAAACTGACATAGGGGCATAACCTGTGAATTTACAACTTCCATGTCTGTCACATGATGCCATTAGGCCAAAATAAGTTTCCCATAGACCTAGGACATTGGTGAAGAAATCTCAGTTAATAATCGTTTTTTTCGAGTTAATGAACTTCAAACACTAGTTAGCTTTTCTTTTTAGGTACTTGAAAATATCACCTGGCTACCTATCTACTTGGGTTTCATGTGCCACTGTGCCATTTTCCTATGAATGAATGACCCCATCTCACACTCAGTATTCAGTTCTCTTTACACTTCCAGGAATCTGCCTTTCTGCACTGTGATGTTTATACAGAACAGAGTAACCACACATTGGCTCTAGAAGTGGGCCTTCACATTTTTTGGGTTACCTGAAGGAGAGGTAATCAGTTTGTTGCGACCCGCAAACTCATTGCTAGATGCACACTGCTCCTTTAATCGCAACAAAGTAAACAACCTTTATCTTACCCAAACTTGCACCCTTTCTTCCTTTTTTTGCGTGCATATTCTCAGATTCATATGCAGGTTTGATAAGCCAATTGGAATAAATAATACATTAAACTGGTTATGCAGCAGTGACAGAAACTGAGTGTTTTATTAAAGCAAATATAGAGAGTGCTCTGTGTACTTTTGACATGGAGGTAAAAGTTCTTCACTCCCCCTGTGAATAACCGTGTGCATAACTGCGTTTCCATAAATACACAAAACTTTTCTCACCTTCTGAAGAGCTTCTTGTCCATCATGACTGGCCCGACAGAGTCACGTGAGGAATGTCGCATTTGACGGACACAGTCACGTAGGCGAGGGTCAGAGGTTAACAAACCTGTTTTTCTTAAAGCCTGGAGAAGAGGGAGAAGAGATGGTTTTGAGCGACAAGGGATAAAAACATTGGAATCGTTTACGCATTCATCAGACACTTTGGATCAGGCACAATAGTGGTCATTGAATGGCTATTAGCAGTGTGTTGAACATGTGTAGGCTACATAGGGTAAGTGGAGGTACACTGTTGGAGGAACCTGTGACCTGAGATTTTCCTCGTCATAACCACACTGTAGCTATGTACGTATGACTAATAAAAGCCTTGAACCTTGAACTTGAATAGTGAGGGATAGTGACTTCAAATGATTGTGGGTGGCCACCTGGGTATAAGAAGTAAATACAGACGTAGACTGAATCACTTGAAACCTTCTCGTAAGTCACACGTCAGGCTGCCTGTCACTGTCTCAACCATGTGCATCTATTTTGGGGACGCCATGTGCACGACCCTCGGCTGATTCATTGAGCTAACGGCAGACAAGCACATGGCTGCTTTTGCTGTTATTGAATGTCTGTGTGTTAATTTTAGCTAAAGGACAGGAAATTCTAAAGTTAGTGCTGCCCTCATAGGTTTTTATGCATACATTCGCCTGGACGTTTAAGAACATTTTTTTCGTTAAGATTTGTGAGCAGTTTTTGTTTAACCACACACAACAGACACAGACAGGCCTTTCAAATTACAGCTTGGTTGGCATGATGAAATAACTACGTACCTCATATTCCTAAATCTGTATAATATTAACTCTTCATACAGTCATTTAAAGCTGAAACTAAATGTATTGAAACGGTCATTAACGCTCATTAAAAGGGCTTACCATTCAATTCACTTTCATGTGTATCAGGCAGGATTGGAAAATACATTTTGTCTTGCTTTGTAAGTTTGAATATATATTAATGGAAGATACAAATTACAAATTGCAATCTCAATACAAATCAGCTTGCTTCCAAAATGTTCTGATATTCAGAGTCATTCTCTTGATACTAGACCACTGATTTCCCATGTTATGTCTCCATTTCTACATCAATGGAGAAAATAAACCCAAACTCTGCCTTTAAGAACAAGTATTGGAGATTGAATATTAAGTGATAGTATATATTATATAGCATCTGTTTTAACAAGACACATATAAACTTTCAAGGCAGACTATAACGCTAAGTGAACATTGATGTTGACTTACACTCTCACCATTAAGTCCTCTCCCAGTCACCTCTACAAACACATCAGGTCATCCGTTGCATGACAACAAGACACTTGTGTTGACACACCTCTCTTCTCCTGAATGCATGTTCCATTTTAAAATTCCTGAGTTGTCATAACACCCAGGTCAGCAGATGTCCATGTCTGCCTTTTTTTAATGTGACGGTCTTAAAGGTCATGCCACATGAAACTAAATGAGGTATGCATTAGCAAGTTATCAGAGCGCTCAAAAAACCCTCGCAGTCTATGTCTTAGTTATCTTCCGAAATATTTTTGTATATAAGATTTAGGAAAGAATAAAGTTTTAATGGGTTCACAAAGCATTACATAACTTCAATACATTGTGTGCACAGGAGATAGTGGCACCAAATCAGGGTTAATGAACAGTGAAAATGTTATGGTGGTTACTTCATTTTTTAATCCAGATGTTACTGGGTATTTGTGTTTTTTTTGTTCAGCGGGAAAGCCTTAACTAAGCTCTTTGGTTCTGTTGTTTAAGTGAAATGCCCTTGATCTAATGAGCCATCTATCACATCAGCAGGTACAAAATGTTGAGATAGTGTTGTAATGAAACCCCCATTATAAAAAGGATAATTAAAAAATGCATGGTGTTCTCTAATGGCGATTACATAATTCTTACACCACCTATAATTAGTCCTATTACATGACAAAGTCCCTAAACACCTTCTTGACTTGAACATGCATTCAGATGGAGATGCTCTGGATTCCTGTTTCTGGCTCCTATATCACTCCCCAAGGTTGATTTAACCAAAGTCATAGGTGCTTTTCGGAAATACAATACTGAGGCAGTGCCATATGTCATGGAAAGTCATAACAGTCCATGGCGTGACTGAGAAAGTGTGTTGTTGACTCACAGAAATGAACTGGGGCAGCGGGATTGTCTCCTTGCCTTCAGTGATGGTGTAGAAAAGCAGGTCCTCCATACTGGACATGAACCTACTTCTGCCAACACAAAAAACACATAAACATGTTTGCACCTTATGTTATGTTTGAATTTGCATTGGCTCCAATGTTTTCAGACAAAACCCTGAGATGTGTGTCAACGTTTACATCAATAACATGGCCAGTAGTGAAAATACTGGCATAATGACAGAGGCTGTGGCCTCTATGGCATGTCTAAATATGTTTACAAAAAACAATCATAAGCTAAATTCATTTTGTCATTAGTGCAGTAGGCCTATATACAAACGCGGGCTTCCATATTGTTTGGGTCTAGTATACCTAATATACACACGTAACCTACTTTGAAATACTATTCACAATTTGTATGTTAATAATTGTACTTATTATAGCAAGAGTTGGAGGAAAAAAGAAAGAAAAATACATTTACAAAAGTAAACTGCTAACTGCAAATAGCATAACAATCCTATGGGTGTAGGCTACATGTAATTTAATTACCATGATAATCAAAAAATGGGGAAATGGTTGTTTGCTTATTTACCAATAATAAATAACAAGTTTGAAGACACACTCTGGTGTTTGAGTCATGTAACGCTAGCTAGAGACACAATATAGTTAGCTTAGCATAAAGACTGGAAGCCATTGGGAATAGTTAGCCTTCCTCTGGCAAAATATTTAACAAATATAGCCAGCTATATCAAACCCAATAAACCAAACACAGACTTGTTATTAACAATGTTTTTTAAACTTTAGTTTGTGAATGAATAAACAATCAATACTATAGAAGGCTAATTTGTAAGTTGCAGAAGAGCAGTTGGCGTTTCCTTTTTTCATACCATTGGACATCTAACTGTTTTGGCCATGTTGCTAAACTAAGCTAACTTTCGTCTGACTGTATCCTCATGTTTAGAAACAAGTGGAATCGATCTTCTACAATCATAGCAAGAAAGTGAATATTGGTAAGATCATTTTCCAAAATATATCTTACTTAAAAAGTCTAACTTATAATTAATGCTGCACAATTTATCTAAAAATATTCATTTTGGAATATTCAGTCTACAATTATTTTATAAGTGTGATGTTATGGTAGAAATTACTAAAAGCTTGAAATATGGGATTGCCAGACATGAGAGTAGGCCTTGACCAGACAGTTCACTCATGAATATTTGATCCTTCACGGGTTTATTGTTTGTTTGTTTGGATGCTCATTAGCTACTTCTTCGGTAGGTAGGTATAGGTAGGTAGATAGGTAATTGTATTATTACACTACCATGATATTCATACTTACAATGGGACCTAATACATAACATAACTACTAAGTAACACAACAACCAACACTAACTTCTAAATAAATCACTTAACTCATCCGATAGGATAAATAAGTCATCCATATCACATCACAACAGAACTAACACAAAACAGAAAGTCATATAATGTTCTGATCTTAGCTAAAACATGTTGTATTTCTTATACTGTATTTCATTATGTAAATGTTGTGGGGAATTATTAATTATATATGTTGGCTAATTATTGGTGATTTATTCATTTAGACACAGCATTATGTGACCTACTTGGGGTGTCCTGGGTCCGCATCAGGGCCCTTCTGGTGGAAGGCTCTGTGGGTGTGGTGTGATGCTGCAGTCCAGCAGGGGAGAGGCACAGGTTGCTGGGTCCGGGACAAAACAATGTTGTCAGCTCCACCTCTGCTGGAGATCCCTGCATTTTTAAATAGCTGCAAGATTCCCGGGTTAGCTGTCCTCAGACTTTTCAGGCAGTGCATTGTGTGATAAGTAGGGCTTAGTCTTTAATAATTCAGAGGATGTGTTTTTTCCTCTTCCCAGTAGCTTATCCAGAGAGATATTTGTGACCAATGGCCCTCTGTCCTTTGCTTTAATAGCAGCTGCTGTCCTACACACTGGCTCAAGTGCAGGCTGTGACTCGGGGGCGGGGCTGTGACACATGCAGCATGGTGGGGTCAATAACCTGCAGTTACTCAAACCAAACTGGTGTTTGATTATAGGCAGAGACGGTTTAGAAAGTTATGGATCATATTTGACTTAGGTAAGACTTATTACGTTAGCTTAGGAAGGAAAATAATATGTATAAACATTTCACGAAGTTATATTCCTACTTGTGTTTGGTCTGGTCTTTAGTTTAGGCCTAGAGGTACACAGCTTTATTTCACTTTCAAAAAACTTGCTGACTATTTTGTTGCAAATTCAAATCAAAAGGTCAGAGGAATAATGTCACTCATGGCAGTTTCAACATAAACCTTTTTGATAATTGTGGCCAAAATGTAGATGTATGAGTTTAACCCTTGTATGGTGTTCGGGTCTGTGGGACCCGTTTTCATTATTCAGCTAAAGAAAAATGACATGATAAATTATTTTTACAAACTCACACTCAATGACCTTGGCTCATTTTCTGTGAAGAACCATCAGAACACATTTTCAATGACCACCCACTGTACACTCCTCTACACATTTACATTACATATACAGGATGTTCGGGTCCACTGCACGGCTAACAAAAGTGTGGAAATTGTAGGTCCTTTGCACCTGTCTGGTCCTTCTGTGTGTGTGTGTGTGTGTGTGTGTGTGTGTGTGTGTGTGAGACTTTTGTGTTTCCGCCCCTGCCATTCCCGCACAAGGTTGCAACATTGTTGATAAATTCAAGCACCGACACCATGCTCTCACGTTCCCGCATTATGTTTTTTAATCTTTTTTCACACTCTACCCCAGCTGTGGGGCGAGACACAATGAATAAAGCTTCACCAGTTTGGGTCCTTATCACAGCTGATCAACATGGCCAAAAGATTCTCTGCTCAGACTGGGCCTTGCAAATGATTTTAGAAGAGAAAGAACCATTTGATGATGATGTAGAGGAAGAGGTTTCAGAATGTGAGGATCACATTTCTGAGAATTCTGAGTCTGACAGTGACTTTGAAGAAGAGGAAGAGATATGCTGTTTATATTGCTTGTAATTGGGATGAAGTAAACATCTGTTGAGTATTTTAACATAAAATAGTTTGATTGTGTTGAATTGAAGCCCAAAAAGGCAGCGGGTCCACCAGAACCACGAACACTGGCTGAATAACAAAAATATGAACACCACACAAGGGTTAAATGAGGTAAAAGGGGATGGGAAAAGTTCAAATGTCCACATCAAGGTTTATTTTCCAAACATTGCAGCATTCAACATAAACTGGCCTTGAAAAAGTGGACGTACGCCAGCAAATGAGTTTATTTAACTCCAATCAAAGGAAAAGTCATTTCAAAGTCCGGACTTGTGTTGATGATTACTGTTATTTATTTTTTCCTATAACTTTTTGTGATGCTAATTATGTAGCTTTGCAGAACAAAGCACCAAAAATAAAAATCAGAAAAATAATTAATATTTCATGAGTTTTTGTCAATGTGACCTTCGCTCTGAGTCATTTGTTGGTGTCATACCTTTTTTTATTTGATTGTCAAATACTTTATGATAAAGTGTGTCAGCTTAATCTGCCATTAACTTAAGGTCAGGTTATTTATATTTCAACATGGACTGGGAAAACCTGTTTGTTGTCTTGTAAATAATGTAATATAGGTAAAAATCATGTTCACACTAGAGAGTCATTTCTCATGCTGTTATGTGGCGACACCCCATGGTGAGTTTCCCAAACTGACACACTGAAACTTTACTATTTTGTCCTCTAGGTGGCGTACTCACTCCAGCAGGACCCAATGCTCAGGTCAGTCTCTATTCCCTGACTGTTGTTTTGTTGAGAGGACACATTACAGTCCTGTGTCTGAGATCCTTCCTCTGCATAGAGGCTTTATGCAGGTTTCCTGGTTCTTCAAACACAACTGTTTGTATCATAATGAGATCTCTTGAGACAGAGGCCTGACTTCCTGTCTTTGATGTCAGTCCGCTGCTGTGTGAGAAGCTCCTCAGTAAGACAGTGGCTGACTGTGATGGAGCATTGTTAACACAAGATAAACAGGTTATAGGGTATCACTTCCCAAAAACAGAGGATCAAGAAATGTAAACTGAGGCAAGAATCCGACAGTAGATCGGCACTCTATATTAAAAGCTCTTAGCTATTTGAATTGTGCCTATTTATGATCTAATATTTGTCAGTCATTGTCAAATATTGTCTTGCTCTTTAAATAGTGGTTCTCAACCTCGGGGTCAAGCAGGTGCATGGCTTAGATTTATGGTTAGCACTAAAAAAATCTATAGATGTATGTGCAGGGAAATTGTTGTTGCAAACACCAGTCAGATTATTATTCAGGGTCTCGGCTCTAAAAAGTAGAGACCCATTACTTTAGATTCGATTTTTGCTATTTATCTAACTTAAAAGATATTTGAAATATAAAACTATTTGAATTGTCGTCCAACTGTTTTCGAGGCAGTTCTAATGAAGGCAATCGATCACCAGATGAAGGTGATATCCCAGTATGTTCAGGTTTAAAGCACACCTGCCAAACATTCACATTCTACCTTTCAAATTCCTGCTGACTGCAGGATTAGTTTCCAATCAGACTTTAGAGGCTGACATGGTATTATCTCAATTACCAAATAAACGAGGCCTCGTAGGCTCTGGTGGTCTCTGCATTTCTAGGCGTGTGACTTCTCCAAAGGGGTCCATGCTAACCCATGGCCTCTCTACCTCTGCCGGTTGTAGCTTCTCTGTTTTCAGACGAAAATGTTTTCCATTCCTGGGCCAATGAATGCCACCTTTGTCCCTTCATCCTCCATCTTATGTGAGAAAGCCCCCCTCGCTGCACTCACCAAGCCTGCACAAACTTAACCTCTTCCCCCCCTCCACCTCACACAGGAAAAGAAACATACCGGGTCTGGCGCTTTGATTCAGGCTCAGTAATCTGGAGGTCTGGATAAAGCACGGGCTTAGAGAGCACTTTGGACTGCCAGTTTTGGGGAAAGAAAGGTGTGGTAGTTGCTGAAAGGGGATTGAAACAGCATTTGGATGAATCTGATACAAATCTGCTGAATCTATGTGCCAGACTGCTAAGGGCCTTCAAAAGAGATGGCCAAATAAGTTAATTTAGACCAGTTTATGCTACAAAATATATGGTAATAAACATTTTAAGAGATATTTATTAGTTCTTCAGCAACTCAAGCCACTTGGACCTTTTTCTTATCCACATGACACCAATCACCCTGCCATTTTCATAGGATTATTGCTTATTTGTTCAACTTCCCAAAGCCCCTCTGGGCCTTGAAAAACTACTCAGGCTCCCACACACATCTCATGTTGGACTGAATGGTTTAAAACCACATAGACAGTAGACAGTAAGGGCATACAACACCTAAATCCAATCCATTTTTAGTTAGTCAACCTAGTTTCGGCTCCACTGTCCTATGTAAGACTTCCTGCATGAAAACAATTTAAAACCAATTAGGGTACATTGTGGAACTAAGCTGCCAGTTAAATGCTTGTGGAGATTAAATGCACCGTTTAATGTATCTTTCAAATGAAAGAGTAAGGGCCATTATCCTTGCGCCACCCAGAGAGAAAGGAATTCCAATCTCTTCTCTAAAGTGAACCTCACCCACCCACCCACCCACACAACCACCCACACACCTATACACCCACCCACACACACAACCACCCACAAACCCATACACCCACACACACACACACACACACACACACACACACACACACACACACACACACACACACACACACACACACACACACACACACACACACGCATGCATGCATGATCGCACGCACACACGCACACGGAGAGTAAGAGAGAGAGAGAGAGCATATACACATTCTAACTATCTATCAATCCATTCACCTACAGTATGATGCCATTATGTCCGATTTTCACTCCAGCTGTCTTTTCAAATTGAGTTATATTAGCCACATTGACACTCCAAAGTGTTGGTTCGGCACTTTGCCAGATTTCATTATCTAAGGAATATTATAACCTCCAGATGATGAATTCTACTTTCACAGCTAATGAACAAATTCCAAAATGACAAAAAGGAGTTAAGTCATTATTTTCATAGGTTTTCTCATTTGCTTTGGTACATTTCTCGAATCCTCCGTACGGACAGGACCATACATCTAATGTATCATTACAGTGTGAATTTTCTTCATCTCTAAAACTAGCTGCAGATTCAGAGGATTTTGGAGCTTTAGTCTCAAGCTGCAAACGGACAGCAAAACTACTGTTTGGGTTCACTGTCACCGCTCTCATAGAAGCAGACAGCTGTTCCCAGTGAAAAGCTCTAAAACCCCACTATACTCTACCTGCTCAGCAAACAGCCGACAGACTAGCTGCTGAACATAGTGGAGCATTTAGCAGCTGAATGGACAGATATTTCCTTCAGGAGTTGAGCTGAGATGTCCTAAAATAGCAGAAACTCTTTTTATATACACTAAGTAATAACCGTTTTACTCTGGAAATGCCCCCAGGTCACACTTTACATTTTCTGCCCCAGCAATAAGACAAGAAGAGAGAATTTGCTAATATATTTTAAAATCATTGCATTGGTTTCCTATCGGTTTTAAGGTTGAATCACTGAATCTTGTGGCACAGCCTTCTCTCTCAGACTGGCTTTTAAGATGTACCTATAGCAGGATCCTCTGTGGCTGGCCCCTAGTATCCTCAAGGATCCTAACAAAAAGGTGGAGAGATGTCAGCCACTCTGGCTCTTATCCCTGAAACAGTCTGCTTTATGATTCAAGGTACTCTACCTCCAACTCTGTGGACATTTCTAAAATAAAACTTGAGAAATATATTGCCTTTTTGTGTGTGGACAGGTAGCATTGCAACAATGCAATATTTATACATGAAACTTAGATTTGTATTTGAAACAGAATCCGAGTTCGTAGAAGGGTGTGGTCCAGAAAAGGA